TAAGGTAAAACATCTTTCACCTTTTTGTGTTTCTGCAGCTAATATTAATAAAATGTAAGTAATTTGTGTAAATGTGTATTCTATAGGCATTTTTTTTTTGTTTCATCATTTGGTAAAATGCTACTTTGCCTAAAGAATAGAATATAATAATTTCAAAGATAAGAATAAAGTTTAAATATTTGAAATTTTGATTAACTATTACTAAACCACTAAAATAATTAAGAAAAAAAATTTAAAACCATTTTCTCTTTAATATATTTCTGTAGTTGAAATTCTATTAAGGTTTTTATATTCAGATATTATTATGTTAATACATATAAAATATGTTTATTCATAGTTAGGCCCTTATAAAAATTTAGATTGTTTAGCTTTTCTTGGCATAATTTTGTTATGTAAACTACATGTACAAATAATTAAGATTCATTTTACGTTGGTGCAAAGATATTCTTCATGGATCCCTTACTTTTTATTTACTACAGATAGTGAATGAATAAAATATTGGCTCTAACTGTTGAGATTTTGGTTTAAATGACCAAGAAGGAATTGGGGGAAATATAGTAACCATTTTGGCAGATAGACTTAGTGATTTGCTTTTTTACATCTTTATATTCCATAAAGGCAAAGAACAAAACTAAATTGAGGAGGGAATATCTTGTGTGTTTATTCATTTAAACTAACTTCTCTTCTAATATGAAGTGATATCTTTCCTAGCCCCACACAAGTGACATTAAAATAATTTGACTCCTCTTTACAATTAATAAATGCAAAACACTATATGAATGGAATTTCTGTATGAATATATAGTAATATATCATTGACTTTTTTATGGTACTTGTCTTGACAGAATTATTTTTAATGTTTTGAATTATAGCAAGTCAGATTATAGAATTAGGTGATGTCTTGGTTTTATTTCTAAAATTTTAAAGATGTGTTATCTTATTACTATCGCTGTAGTAATAACTACATGGTTTATTAGAGATAAATATTTAATTTGACTTTTTGTCTTAAGTTGTACATTACTAGATATTGCTATAATACTATAACTGAAGAATATTGTGATTAGGAAAATAGGTTTTGAGCTAAACTTGTAATTTTATTACACATAAGTAAACATTAAGTTGGGGATGCCTTTTATTGTATTGAGTGGGATCATTGCTAGCTATCTGTGTGAGGACTTGTAGAGATAATCAATACAATTTGATCTGGACAGATTTCAAATGCATTTGGCATTTGAGAACCTTAATAAGACTCATTAGAGGCTGGACGCAGTGGCTCATGCCTGTAATCCTAGCACTCTGGGAGGCCAAGGCAGGCGGATTGCTCAAGGTCAGGAGTTCAGAACCAGCCTGAGCAAGAGCAAGACCTTGTCTCTACCAAAAATAGAAAGAAATTAATTGGCTAACTAAAAATATATAGAAAAAAATTTAGCCTGGCATGGTGGTGCATGCCTGTAGTCCCAGCTACTCGGGAGGCTGAGGCAGAAGGATCACTTGAGCCCAGAGTTTGAGGTTATTGCGAGCTAGGCTGACACTCTAGCCCAGGCAACAGAGTGAGATCCTGTCTCAAAAATAAATAAATAAATAAACAAACATAAGACTCTTTAGAAAAATCACAGTCTGATAATTGCATTTATACATATTTGTTTTAGTTGCAATGATAACAATCTACTGTAGCAAATAAGTGCAAAAAAGATGCATAGTACCACAAATGCTACACGTTTATTTCTTGTTCTCACAGCAGTATAAACGAGAAAAACAACTTGGTTAGTTAGCTCTCTTCCATGCAGTCATTTAGGATCCAGGCTGTCATAGGATCTAATATCTTCATCATGTTATTTTCAAAAGTTACTCTGGAGGTCATCTCCATTTCAGCCAAATGAATGAGTACATGTGGAAAGTTTGTATAGATCAGTTCTAGAAGTAGCAAGCATTAATTTACTCACATTCTATTGGTTGAAAATAAGTGTTGTGCCCACAACTAGTATCAAAGGAGGATGGGAAATATAGTTAAGTATACCTAGGAAAAAAGGAAAACATGTATTTTAATAAACAGCCAGCAATTTTTGTTATGGTCAACTTTTCTGGTCCAGAAATAGCCATACACATAATTTTTCCTGCCTCTCCAGTAGACAGATCCTGAAGTTTCCCATTTACAGCATCCAGTTCCAAGTCAAGGATCTCAAGCCAATGTACAATCTTCTCTCTCAAGCTGGGATGTTGTCCCTTGAAGTTTACAGCAATGTTATTTACCTACTCTCTCTCAGTGTCTCCAAACCCCCAAGAAATAATGATGAAGCAGAAGGTAATCTGCTTCATATCTTCAATAATCATCCCCATTTGTAAAGGGAAGAATAGGAAACACCCACAGGAGTCATTGGTCCATCACAGTGATTAAACCTGCTACTTACAAGTTCACTGAGAAGGTCCACTGCACTACAGTAGAAGTTTCTTGCTTAGACCTTAAATATGTTGTTTCCATGCCTTGTTCTCCATGGCTCTCCCCTGTGGATGGTTCTCTCTTCCTGGTCACATATGAATTGGATGTTACAAACTTGGTTTGCCTTCCTTAGAGCTGCAATCTACTGGTTTCAATGTAGATGCCCAAGAGTTGATTTTCAGTCAAAGAATTTTTTAGACAAAATTTCTGGTTTCTTTATAAATATACTTCCTTCAAATTTTAGTAACCTTCTTACCATTTCTACTAAGTCGCATGTGCATGTGGCTAACACTGCAATTTCTTTTGTAGACATAATTCTCATGTCTGCTTTCTTTCTGTGCTTCAGAACTCCTTTCCTTTCTATTGCTACCCAATAATGTCTACATTGGAGTAACCTGAAGTAATAGGCTCAGGTGAGACTGTAGCACCCTTAATCTGCTGTTTATTTCTCTCTCTTTCTCTGTCTCTAGCTCAGAATTCATAATGGGCCTTTGTTCTTCAAGGCTTTTTTTTCCTATTATTTGGTTTTTAGAAGGAGATGGCTTTTCTAACCTCCTTAGTCCCCAAATTACTGTACTCTCTATTTTCTATATTTTTGTTTGTGAGCTGACCAGTTCTTGCCTGATCTCATCTTTATCTTGTAGTACCTTACTAGAAGTAGTGACGGATAATTTTCAGGCACAAATACCTGTATTAGATAGACCCCACTAATGTCAAACAACTCAACCACAATAGAATTCCATTCCTTCTCAGAGTACTAGGATGGTAAACAAGTTAGAGTAGCCTTTTCCATCCAAAGTTGACTGAGGTTCCTACAAATACACTTTCAAGGTTCTTCTGGGGATCATTTCCATTCTAGCCAATTGGAAGGGGAAAAGACAACACAAAATTATGCATGGTAGTTATTTATATTCATGTCCGAAGGTGATGCACATCACTTCCATTCATATTCCATTGACAATAAATTACATATTTGAATTTACATTAAGCAATAGAGTTTAACTCTACCAGGTAAAAAGGAGAATATAGATTTGGTGAGCAGGTTGTAGTCTCTGCTATATTATTTGAATTCATTCAAAGTAATAGGATTTGCAGGCCAGAAATAAATTAAGACAAAAAATACAAAAAAATCAATGAAACAAAAAGGTTGTTTTTTTTAAGATAAACACAATCAATACACCTTTAGCTTGACTAAGAAAAAAGAGAGAAAACCCATATAAATAGAATCAGAGACAAATAGGAAACATTATAGATGATACCACAGAAATACAAAGAATCTTTAGAGACTATTATGAACAACTGTACACCAACAAATTAGAAAACCTAGAAGAAATGGATAAATTCCTGGACATATACAACCTACCAAGATTGGCCATGAAGAAATAGAAAACCTGGACAGACCAATAATGAGTAATGAGATCAAAGCAGTAATAAAAAGTCTCTCATCAAAGAAAAGCCCAGGACCTGATGGATTCACTGCTGAATTCTACTATATATTTAAAGAACTAAGACCAATTCTACTAGGCCAGCATTACCTTGATATCAAAACCAGACAAGGACACAACAGGAAGAAAAGAAAACTACAGGTCAGTATGCCTAATGAACATAGTTGTTAAAAATCCTCAACAAAATAATAGCAAATTGAATTCAACAGCCCTTTATAATGATTATTCATGATGATCAAGAGGAATTCACCCAGGGATGCACGGAAGGTGCAATATATGCAAATCAATAAACGTGATACATCACATTAACAGAATGAAGGACAAAAACAATATGATCACTTCAATAGACTCAGAAAAAGCATCTGACAAAATTCAACAATGTTTCATGATAAAAACTCTGAACAAATTTGGTATAGAAGGAACATAGCTCAACACAATAAAGGCCATATATGGCAAACCTACAGCTAATACCAAAAGTGAAAAATGCTTTTCCACTAAGATCTGGAACAAGGATGTCCACTTTTACCACTTCCATTCAATATAGTACTGGAAATCCTAGCCAGAGAATCTGGCAAGAGAATGTTACAAAAGGCATCCAAATTGGAAAGAGGGAAGTCAAATTATCCTTGTTTACAGACATGATCTTCTTCTGAAATCCATTGACATTGGTTACATATGTTATGCTTTTTAAAATAAAATGCAAAATACTTGAGATTCAAACTTTAGCTTTACTTTTTGTGTAACATAGTAGGTAATTGGAAAGAAACATGCTGCCAATAGCATGCCTACAGCCCCAACCCAGCTGAATAAATAGTACCTGATTTTCAAATTTACAGATAATATTCTCTAATAGTGTGGTTTAATTGAACGTTGATGGTACCTGATAAAATGAATGTTACCAAGAACAAATGATTGGGAAATTTAATTACCAGCAACTGTATCCTTGATAATTTAGTTGAAAAAAATTTGTTTTCTTTATGGATATCTAATGGGAATAAGTCAAAGGCATTTTTACCTATTGCTTTAAAAATGAATTTTATGGAATAAATTATTCCTGAAGTTTGTAGATAGTCTTTTTTTTTTAAAGGATTTCATCATATTTGTTTTCTCTCTTTTCAGCAGGCATTTTGGAGATCAAAAATGGGTAGAAAAGATGCTGCCACTGTCAAACTTCCTGTTGATCAGTATAGAAAGCAAATTGGTAAGCAATGAATTCTCTTCAGTATATTCCTATGAATTGAAGATAAAGGAAAAAGCAATTATGCATGATATTAAGAAAACAGATTTTCTCTGATACATAGGATACACAGAAATATATGAGTAAAGAAGCACTTTATAGAGTTTTATAGGAGCAAAAGTAAATGTAGCCCTGCTTACCAGTAAAGATATATACTGCATGTACTTGTGACTTTTCAATGATTTTATAGTTTTTAAAAGCAAAAATAATTTTGATTATTACTCTTAAAGTTAGATACCTTTATACAGTTATTATTTTGGGATATTATCATCTATTAAATCATTTCTTCTTATCCATGTAAAAACTTTTAATTTTGTCGACTCTTGATGGCAATAACTTTAATAACCTTAAAATTCTCTTTTAAAGTAAATATGCTGAATAAAATGGAACAAATGTCCTTTTAAATGGAAACCTAAGCTCAGAAAATATTAACAGACCTCTCCAGGGGTCATAAGTGAAGGTTTAGGGAAGACTGGAGACAAGGCTTTGGAGATGAAATTGAGACTCTCAATTGTACTTGGACCCTTAAAGAAATACTACCTTACTAAAATGGTGGGCTAGAGGAAAGTACACTCATTAGCACAGAAAGATAATAGGAAGCTTATCTGTTTTAGCTTATGCTCTCTAAGTGAAGGGTTTTCTTTTTGTGGATATATGGAGTATATGTAAAAAATCACCTGTATACTATGTCACTAAGAAAGTCCCTCAAATTATATAAAATCAATATTCTACAACCACATTTTTATCAAAATGTAGTAAATCAGAAGCTAGAACCAAAAGGGTAACTTCCCTTTCCCTATCCCCACCCTCTTCTTTTGTGTGCTCCCTTTCATCCCTAACATTCCTTTGGAAATGAAAAATAATAAATTAATAAAAAATAACTTCTAAATAACTGGTGGATAAACAAAGAAGTTACAATAGAAGCCAGAAAATAATTATAAACAATTGATATTAAAAGAGAGTATATATCTAGTTCATAAATATGACACAAAAAGTGTATTCTATAAAGAAAAAGATACTTTTACAAAACAAAAGTCATTCAAATAATGTGAAAAAATATTTGAAATGCATATAGCCAATTAAGACTTTTTATTGCATGTATATTTAAGGTGTGTGGCATGATGATGTTTTGATACACACACACACACACACACATATGAAATGATCACTACAGTAAAATCAATTAAAATATCCATCATCTCACATATACCTTTGTGTGTGTGTGGTAAGGGCACATAAAATCTACTCTCAGCAAATGTCTACTGTTCAATAGAATAGTAACTGTAGTCCTCATGTCATACATTAGATCTATAGCTTTATTTATCTTTGTATCCTTTGACCTGTATCTACCCATTTCCTCTTCCTCTCCACCTTTGGTAACTACCATTCTACTCTCTTTTTCTATATATTCAACTGACTTTGTAAGATTCCAAATAATAAGAGAGATCGTGCAGTATTTTTCTTTCTGTGGCTGGCTTATTTCACTTGGCATAATGTCCTCCAGGTTCATCCATGTTCTCTGAAATGGCAGGATCTCCTTTTTTAAGGCTGAAAAATATTCACAATTTCTTGATTCTGTAGTCCATTAACAGACACTTAGGTTGTTGCCCTATCTTGGCTATTATAGTGAGCAACGCTGCACTGAACATGGAACTGGAGATATCTCTACAAAGTGCTAATTTCCTTTCCCTAGAGTATATACCCAGAAGACAGATTGCTGGTCATATTGTAGCTCTACTTGTAATTTTTTGAGAAACCTCCATAATGTTTTCCATAATGTCTGCATCTCTTTTCATTTCTACCAACAGCATACAACAAGAATTTCCTCTTCTCCACACCCTAAGCAACACCTATCTCTTGTCTTTTTGATAATAGCCATACTAAGGGTTTGAGATGGTGTCTCATTGCATTTTGATTTGTATTTTCCTGATAATTAGCAATGTTGAGCACCTTTTCATATAATTGTGGGTTATTTTTGTCGACCTTGGAAAAATATCTATTTAGGTCCTTTACACCTTTTTTTTTCAATCAGACTGTTTTCTTGCTATTGATTGTGTGACTTCCTTATATATTTTGCATATTAACCCTTATCAGATACAATAGTCCTCTCTTTTCCACGATTTGGCTTTTGGTGGTTTCAGTTACTTGCAGTTAACTGTGGTGTGAAGATATTAAATGAGAATTCCAGAAAAAAGCAATTCATAAATTTTAAATTTTGTGCTGTTCTGAGTAGCACGATTAAATCTAGCACGGTACCACTCTGTCCCACTCAGGACATATATCCACTCCATATATACTACCTGACCAATCTGTAGAATGCTCTTTCTTTTTTTTTATTTCAGCATATTATGGGGGTACAAATGTTAATGTTACATATATTGCCCATGTTCCCCCTCCTCCCTCTAGTCAGAGCTTCAAGCGTGACCATCCCCCAAACGTTGCACATTTCACTCATTGTGTTTGTATGTACAAGTGTCCTGTTCAAAAATTCATTGCCAAGATCAAAGTCTAAGAGCTTTCCTCCTGTGTTTACTTTCAGGAGTTTTACCAGTTTCAGGTCTTAATATTTAGATCTTTAATCCATTTTGAATTGATTTTTGTGTATAGTGTAATACAAGGATCCAATTTCATTCTTTAGTTTTTGGCTATCCAGTTTTTCCAACACTATTTAGGAAGAGACTAGTTTCCCCTATGTGTCTTCTTGGTGCCCTTATTGAAACCAACTAAGAATTTATATGCAGAAAAATTAAGTCCTATCATTAATAAATAAAATAGTCTAGAAACCCAACAACAAAATGGACAAGTAGTAAGAGGAAGCAATTCAAAAAGAAGAAATCTAAATAGTCAAATAAATAAAAACAAAACAACTACTGAAATAAAAAATGAAATAAAAACTTCATGAAAAGATCTAATTCATAGATCAATACAAATTAAAATAATATTTATAACTGGATTATTTTTGAAGCAGAGTTTATGGTATGGTATTTATTTCTTTTGTATATCCTTTCTTCCATGATTATAGAATGCATTATGAATGGTGTGGGTTATTTTATTTAAGTTAGGTTACTTATGTATTTGTTTAAACAGAAGGTCTTGCTTACTATTAATATAGTGAAGTCTCTGATCAATAGGATGTACTAAGCACATAAATAAAGAATACTCATATTGTGGAACATTCTACATCCAACTCTTAAATAGACAATTCCTAGAAATTTGACAAGTACATGTATACCCATGTAAACATATATGGGTATATGAACATATATGGGTATATAAACAAAAATATAGAATATTTCCATCTTCCCCAGTAGTTTCTTGTATCTGCTTCCAGTCAGTCCCTGCCCAACCCCCATTTGCAACCACCATTCTGATTTCTGTTACCATAGTTGAATTTGTTTCTACAAAGAAAGCCTGTTAAGGTTTTTATTTAAATTTAATTTTATCTAATAGTCAATTTTGGAGACTAGATATTAAACATCCAAAATCTTTTGTTCTATAAACATGTTATATCTTTCCATTTATTCAGTTCTTTTTATATTTATTAGCGTCCAAGAAGAATAAGGCAGAGAAAATAATTAGTTGTGAAGCCTGAGCTCTCTTTTTATCTAAAATTGTTCTGAGAGTTCTAAGAGTTCTGTAATGTGCATATATTCCCATACAAATTTCTGTTTTCTGTTTGACTTTCTCTTAAAAATATAAGTGGACACAAGATGTACCTGTCTCACAGGGTTCTTGTGATCTCCATAAGTGTTAGAGCCATTTATAAACTAGATTGCTGCATGGATATGAGTTATCCTGTATGTACTTTGCAAATATAGTAGCCATAATCAAACAAAATGTATGAAGTGTAAACTTGTGAGGGTATACTTTTGTTTACTCTTTTTAAGCATAATACACTGTCATAAGATTATCATGCATGTGGTATTGAACGTTATGTATAAGGTTTTTGTAAAGGTTGAGAAATAAATGAAATAGAAAAATTTTTAAATAAGACATTATCTAATTCAAGGATTTTTTTTTTCAAAGAAGGATTTTCTATGGTAAAGTTAGAAAGTATCACTAGGCTGAACTCAGACTGATGATAATAGATCTTTTATTACTAACACTCTGACTTAACTAGAATCTTACACAGATGTTTCCCAGATATGACAGAAAATGTGAGGAGGGAGTAAAGCAGCTAGAATTATTTTGTGGAGATACTACTATATTGGTGGTTAAAAAAACACAAGCCCATAAATAGTCAATTAACTGAATATCATGGTGTTTTTTAATATTAAAGTTATTAGTAAGCTAATTTAGTTTTCTAATAAACTTTCATAAAGAATAGTGGCATTATATGTGTGCAATGTCCCCTTGCTACTAAATCTCATTTATATAAATTTTGCATGGTCAGTCAATAGCTATATTTGGCAAAAACAAAGCCATTTTTAAATGATGATTTTAACATTTTTAAAAAATATTTATCTTCCACTAAAAGTTTTGCCTTTTCAACTGTGTACTATAAATAAATGGCTTTTACAAAAGTCTTTCTTTATAAATATTCTTTTCCCTAGTAAGAATCAAATGGGCCTATGTTGTGACTGGAAACACCTTGTAGATACAGAAATTTCACATTAAACTGACACTATTGTATAATTGTAGCATGATCTTGACATGTGTAGCAAACAGAGATAAAATACTTTTCACCTTCAAGGCAGTGAACTAAGGAAAACTGATTATTCTGAAATATTACTGACTACAAAGGAAAATCAATTGGTTTGGACATCATCCTTTCTTCAGAAATAATATTTTAAAGATAGATAGTATGAGATTAACTAATATTACATATATTATTCTAAACATAAATTATTTCAAAATGGGGAGCAAAAAGATTTAAAAAATTCTTTTAACATAATTGAAATATTTTATAAATAGATGTTATTAAGCATTGCAAGCTTCATATTTACATGTGCTAGGTAAATCAT